AAGTCTGTCTTTAATTGCATCTTACTTGACGTTGTGACTTACAGATTAAATTTAGAAAACCTTAAAGCCGCCTCTAAGGTTTTCTAAAGTCACTCTCATCGGATTATGAGGGTTTAAAAGGACGGGCTCTATCGGTTACCTGTTATAGACTTGAGTGGACCAGAAAAATGGCTAAAGTTTGTTTGACCAAACATTTTAAATATTCTGCCCCTATTTACTCAATTATTTATTAAGATATTTTATTTCTCTAAAGCGCAATGGATTTTTTAATACAATTTCTACTAATGTACTTTTTGAAAATTTAAAATTGATCCATAAATAGCGAAAACCAGATAATCTCATACTCATCACAATTTTAACGCGTTGCAGTTTTTTTTAACAACAAAATTTAAAAAACGGACAAGCAGTTTGAGTAGGGATTCTTCCGCTCATTTCAACGGTGTGAAGTTTATTACAATCGGACGTATACTTTTGGCAAAAACTTGGGCAGAAGTTTATATGTATTTGCCTATGCTGGAATATGCTTTAGCTCACCCTTAAAATGATGAAGAGCTTATATAGAGTAACCTCATTTGACATATACCTATTAAAACTTTTATGACTTAAGCGGTTTAAGCCAAACCATCCTATAAGTCAAACTGGCTATTGTATTACTTAACTCAGTTCACAGCTACATTATGCCAACAATGGACAGTAATAATCTTGCGGTTCGGGTCCACAAAGCTTACAATAGCCAGTTTGACTTATAAGGGTGCTTTGGCTTAAGCCGCTTAAGTCATAAAAGTTTTAACAGGTGTATGTCAAATGAGGTTATAGTATGTTAACAAATTTTTCTGGTTTCTTAACAAATTCTGTGGTAAACTCGGTTTAGATTTTAACTCCCTACTGGGTCAACCTGCTCTTTGTGGAGACGAACCAGGTATAATAATCCCAACAGGTCAGCTAAACGATTCGTAGAGAATAACAAAACAATATTTTTGAGTATTTGGGTTAAAAATAATTGCAAAAAGTAATAATTGTAATAGTGACTGAATTGCTCAAGTAATTCATTACAAATGCTCATTACATTTTTTGAAAAGTAATGCATTACAATTACTCATCACTCGAAAAGAAATTGAATTACAGTAATGAATTACTTGTACATAATTGAATTACTTCCAATCACTGTCATTAGCTCAATTGATTAGAGATAGAGACGTAGCGGGTTCGATCTCTTCATGCGCCATGTTTTTCTTATATTGGTATTAATTTTTTTTTAATTCAATTTATTTGAAGTACGTAAGCGGCGATGTAATAAGTTCTGCCTAATGCCATGAACCCAATTTTTTAAATTAATTACGTCGTTCGTCTACTCTTGATTGAATCTTGAACCTTGGCTTGAATATAAAACGCAACATCCTCTGTACAGACAGTGACTGCGATTTTTCTTCCACACCAACGGAATTATTAAAGGCAAGAAATGAAGCTACTTTTAAGTTATTACCAGTTAAATAAGAACAAATCTGCAACAAGGCACATTTAAGATTTATAAAGTGGGAGAAAAGAGAGCTGGTTCTATCTCAGAAGCAGTGGCATTACCATAAATACTTAACTCTGGCAGTTTCGCAGTAAATGAAATCATTGGTTTCGTGGTTACACTATTCCACGGTTAGAAGCATATTACATGCTAAAATAATATGAAAATTTCTGAATAGTGGAAAGTAATTTTATTCAGAAGCTTAACAACTTCAGCAATCCTGATATGAGCACAAATTAATATGCTTCAAGTACTTACTAACAAAGATAAACATAAATGTCATGAATTCATTTAATTCAGTGTGTTTGTAGTATGTTGAATGTACATTATTCTAATATTTAGAATCGCGCAAGCACATTATGTTGTTAAATTGCGCTACCAGTGTTGTACAGTTTTGATTAAATTAAAATCAGGAAATATTGTCCAAGAGATACAGGGCAGAGTCTTGCGGGCAAAGCGGCAATTCGCTAGCGCATTGATGTTGATGCAGCTAAACCTCGCGTCGGAGTGATGAACCCTAACGTGGCGAACTGTACGATATAAACAAGGGTTAGTTTGTTCTTTAACTCCAGGTATATCCAGCGGCTTGAACAATATGTGTTTAGAATTTTTAGTCTCAAATTAGTGGATTTATTAATTTTACAAAACGTATACATTAACTCAAAGTTATCACATAATTATAACCATATTTTCTGCTGACATTTTATGCAAAATCTACAGCGACATAATTAGAGAAAAGCGCTAACTTAGATGGACAGCGTTTTAAGATAGACTGAACATTGAAGGTTCTAACCATAGATAAAAGATTATGCAAACAGTTTAAAGTTTTGTAGAAATTTTACGTCAAATTTTGAAATTCGTCATCAGAATTATTTGTCAAACAGAATCTTTGGTTTATTTAACGTTTTACTACTCTACTTAATTCTGAACAATGAGACGATTTAATGTTCAAATAAAACAAGTTATGTTAAATGTGTTGGATTATCTAGAAAGAAATCATGATGTTGTGCAATTTAAGAAAAAAAGAAAAACAGAACTGGCGGCCGAAATGTTAAAAATTTCAGAAAAATCTTTATATAATTTGCAAAAAAGTACAGGTTCAAGTGATACGGAGTAAGAGTCCTCTACAATTAGAAATATAAAAACTCAAGTAAATCCTGTAGATTTGTCAGTAAGGGAAATTATGTATAAAATGATTGCTTTTAACAAACACGTAACTAATAATAAGTCGCTTCACGCTAAAGTTATGGAAGAGATATCACACTTTAAAGCTAGACCCAAGATACATGAATTAGAAAAGTTGGTTTTAAATTTTGATGAAATATCAGATCTGGAATATTCTGCGCAATAGACTGCCCAAAAAATTGTATAATTGAGATCACTTTGCTCAAGAACACGAACATTGTGTCCTAAGACTTCCGCCATACCACTGTCATTTGAATGCAATTGAAATTGTATAGTCGGAATGTGAACGAAAATACGATGAAAATATTCCGAAAACTAATACTTCTCCTGTTGATGTACTAAAAACTTGGGAAAATGTAATAAACCAAGCTCCCGATGTACACTGAAAAAATTATATTAAGCACACGGAAAAAATCATAGATTCGGCATGGCAAACGGAAAAGATTCTGGACAATTGTGAAACAAACCAAGTCAATGTTAATTCCGTTTCAAATGATAGTGATAGTGAAGATGATGATAGCAGTGTTGATGATTTAGAGTTGTCCATATAAAGTTATCCGTAACATACAAGAAAGCACATACAATTTTTTTTGAATATAAGAAAAACTGCCATTGAAGGCTGAATCAAACTTATTATAAGATAATTATTTTGGTTATATGTACATAGAACATCATTTAATGACAAACACTTCTGACTTTTTAATGCAGAACATCGTTCATTCCAAAATAAGTGATTTTTGCAATACACGTTTATAGTCCAAAGTTTTATTAAGATTACATAGGTATTACACATTTTTTACATCAACTTGAATACGATTTTAGTAAAGCGAATTTTATTTGCTGTGTTATAGAAAATTGTTCTTTGCAGCTGTTTTTTTTTCCCGAAGCTCTAAAGAAATTCGAATAAATAATAATTTGTCCTAAAAATATCTAATAACAGTGTGATAAAATATAATTCGAATTAGTAATTTGAGAAAACGAGCACCTCTATATTTGAGAAATTAACCTTTTGTTAAAAAGAAACGACATGTGAAAAGTGAACATCTGTAGTCCTACCTTAGATCAGAAAAAAATCTGTTCCATTGTTTCCTAGACAAAGAACGCCATTATACAATTAGTCGCAATTTAATCGATTCTTGGTTAGTTCCTTTATACATTTTTCGTAACAATAAACTGTTATAAAACTAGATCCTGCATTTACTTACAGTTGGAATAATTTATCATTTCCATCACATGATTACGGTTCGTTATACGAATCAAGCAAATAACAGATAAATGTACATGTTTTACTTGGTCAGACAAATGAACTTCTTTATGCAAGTATTTTAGTACGCTTTGAACAAAAATAGAGACAGTGAATTTTGTTGCAACTTGCAAATAATATAGTCACGTGATGGAAGAGATAAAACAATCCTACTATATTTATTTTTGTTTATGAAAAACGTCAATTTTCGGATATGTTTCTTCTTCGAAAACACGATTATGAGTCAGTTATTTAAAAAATATAACCTAAACGTGCAAGAGCATGTTTTATATTCGAAAATGACCTGACCTGACCTTGCCTTGAAAGGAAAAACGTCTTTACTTAAAATGAAAAAATAATCCTCAGCTTAATAATTTTTGAAGCCTGTATTGCAGCCACAAATTTTTGTTTCATTTGATACATAAATGGACCTTGATGTAAAATTCTGTTTACTAAATTATTTTTTGGAAATCCTAAGAAATTTGTTTGTTTAATGTGTTTTCTTTTGGAGTTAACCGATTCATGTAAATTAAAATTAATTTATTTTAAGACAAAAAGATCATCGAAGTACGTCGTTGAACAGTTATATTAAGTTATTATTCTTTTCAAAAACATTAAATTAGAAATCTTTTTCTTTACATAAAACCGGAAGATATATGTAACATTTTTTTACAACATTAAAATTACATGTGTTTACACTCAACACGTATTAAATAATATATTACAAAAGGATATTTACTCATGAATTAAACTTTCAATTTTAAAATAAAAAACATTTCGTCGAAACAGTAGTTGTCTTGATAGGTAAATGAAAATATGAATACGTCATTTTGGTTCAAATTAATTTTAAACAAGTTAATCGGCCACAAAAAGCCTAAATAAATGTAGTCTTTAAACGAAATGTTCCTTTTTTAACACGTCTTTGTTTGTGCAAATCAGATAAAAACAGAAAGCAGATTTACTTATCGATAAGTCGACAAGAATAAAGACTATGGGCTAATTAAGTTGTGAAACTGTGCGAAAAGGGAACGATTGCGCTTCCATTCTTTTACTTACCGGGCGCATCTACAAGGGATGCCGTGTCTTCAGCCACAATAGACACCACGAGGTCAGTAAAACTAAGAGCCCACAGGAAGAGCATCCACATCTGCAGGTACATTTGCACTATTAACACCCAATGTGAGAATCGATTTGTCTTCTCGTAGCAGTAACAATCAGACTTCTCAGAGTACTCTCACTAGTACTAACACGTTTGCAAGTGCGCTCGACGTGAGTGTCTTCTTAGCACTGGCACCAAACTTGAACCGTGGCCAACGTCGTATCTTCAAGAAATAATGGAGCTTTTACACGAATTAAACCAGGTCGCTCTACTATTGTTGCCGCGGATGTCTCTAGAAATCCGTGCGGTTCCAGTGAAATGCGGGAAACTGCCATTACCATGCATGGCGGTTGGTGAAGAAAGTATAGTCTCCAAAATAACACGACCGTTGCAGCGGAAATAATTGGAAAAAAAACTTGGGTGACGTTACACCATTCATTTCAGTTTCTTCTTGTTTTATAACAATGGGTTTATTCTAATTTTTGGCGTTTAGAATAATTGTTGTTTTTAGTGCGAGCACGTTCTGCTAATTTCACCATGTTGATCACGCCGTTCTTTGATAAGGTTATCGAAAGGAGAAAACTATTAGAAACGAACATAATTTTTGCATATCTGTGTTGCACTCGCAATTTCATTTCAGATTAGGTGTTAATTTATTACCACTTAATTTCCCTTGTTTGGGAAGCAGAACAACCCATATGAATCTCACAGCGTATTTTTCAATGAATGTGATATGAATGTACAGCATAAATACATTTTTTTGAGATAACAACGTCAGCATTATTATGAAAGTACTGATTTTAATATCTGCAGTGTTACTGTATTTGTGTATTCTCATAATGCTAGAGACATTATTGATAAATTAATCAGTTCATGCATGAATTTTTTACGAGAACTTGGAACCTCCCTTTGCATACGTTCTCGTGACGTGATGGAAATATCGAGTCGAGTTGAGTTGAGTTGTTTTCTTTTGCTCTTTATTGTTCTTTGGAATTGCTTTCATAGAACACTATTTAGTCATATTTATAATTTTGTGTATTAATTTGCCATACTTCCTTTCAAATTATAATGAAGGTAACTTATAGGGCTCCTTGAACTGAAAAAACAATTAATGCCGAAAGACAATATAAAAATCAGTCAGGGACTTGTGTTCAAGCATATAATAGTTTTAAACGTCTTGGCACATAATTTACGCAAGCCTAATCAACTTTACTATAAATTATCAGCAGATAATAGTTTTTTCTTGGGTAAAAATATGTTGCAATACAGGAGAAAAGAAGTTGTTACGATGACTACCACTTCTGAAGCTTGAGGTAGTACTGTTAAAATTTTAATTTACCGTCAAAATATTTAAACACAATTTCAAAGCAAAAAAATGCTCAAAAGTTAAGGACTTCCTTCGCCCCTGAAGTACGGTCCAATGTATTTGTGATAACACCTATACTTAAAAAAATAGGTAAGACCAATAATAGTGTAAGAAATTAAATGACACCTATACATTTTTTTGTGCTTGTCTACGATATCCAACTTTTTTTAAATGACATATTTTTTGAGATTCTTGCAGAGTTTATTTTCCTGAACAAAAACACACTCTTTGTTAATTTGATTATATTTGATCTGCCGCGGAATGCAGTTTGCACTCATGGGAAACGGACACCCGATTAACAATTGCTTCAAAAATATGAATACGCAAGGCTATGCTTGTGTTTCTTGTGAGTTTTCACACTTGGAAATGTTCCGATATTTACCATTCTAAATTTGACAACAATGGGTGTGTTAGTTTCTGAGATTTGTTTAATGTATTGTTATTTAGACGGAAAGGGGAGACCCATTGTTTCGTAGTGGAAGAGTCAAAGAACGTCCAGAAAATATGAAAGTAGCCATTCGTCGAATGGACCCTATCACAATATTTAGCTTAGACTTTGAAAGTAAAAATATTTGCAAGAGTTGTAGATATAATGTGTATTAAAAAAGAAATAAACTACGATGAACAAAAGCAACCATATAAAAAAAAAAAATCAGATTAGTTGTTCTAACACGTAACATATGTATTTACTATTTATAATGCTAAAATTATTCCAACAAACCTAAAGAATAAAAAAAGTTATTCAAAGGTAAATTGTTAAATTTTAGTAAAATCTGTCTTAACAGTTTTTTTTTATAAATATAAATATTTTCGTGAATTGGCTTTCGTTATCTACAAAATTCATCAAACAATCGTAGTAGTCGGTAAAACGCTACCACAATTTGTTTGATCATCCCTACTAACAATTTGATGACGCTACCTCCAAATATTGCATAGTAAATACTATTTAAATTTTACTCCTATAAAATAACATATCCATGTAATTGTGGTTTATGAATTCGCCTTGGTTTTCTATCATTTCCATTCAAATTTTCCCCCCAAAAAATCACAATTGTATAACAATAATAACAATATTTAAATTAGAAACTACAAAACCTAATGCTCTCAAATCTTGGGAACGTTTTTAGGTTATTGTAAATCTAATAAATCGTTAATAAAAATTGTATTACTACCCCCCCCCCCCATTAAGTAATGATGTCATTAAAGGCAATGGATTTGTTGAACTGAATCAAGATAAGGAAAAATAGCCCAAACGAGGAAAGAAACCATGAAAAGATACAAAAACGACATAAGCGACTTTGTACGTCATTTAAACAGAAAAGACATATAGTTTTTAAATAAAAATTTTGTTTTGGTCATTTATTTAATTCTAGTGGTATAATAGTAAAATGCTTGAAATTTCTAACTGACAAAATTATTTGCAAGCTTCAGCTACCGTTTTGCTGCAAAAATATTAGAAATAATTGTTAGATTTATATCGACCAATGGAAGAACAATCTGTAGGGAACGCAAAGTGTATTATTTGACGTTTATTGAAGATAGCTGTATTTGAAAAAAAATTGGTCTAAAGTTATTTACAGAATTTTCCTCTCCCCTGAAGTACAAATTTTTCGAAAAATTATAAAATTAAATTTTATCCATCGTTCTTTTTTTTTCTTCATCACCTTTTTTCGTCATTGTCATGGTGTAGGTCTTATCATGCTTTTATAGATTTTCATTTTATGTTCATTGTCAGTTTTTGCTATTTAATATTTTTCGGTTTGCATAGAATGCTCTGTTTTTCTGATATTATTTTTCCTTTAATCTCTGAGCTTCTCATTCCGTTACTCTCTAATATGTTCCCAGATACCTGAATTGACTTACTACTTCGAGTTGATGTTATTAATTCTTATGTTTATATTTCCTGCTGTTTTTCCAACCCCCATTATTTTGGTTTTGTTTTCGTTTATTTTTGGAACCAATTTTTGTCCTTCCTCTGTTATTTCTTTTAACATTTTTTCATTCTTTCTTTTTTCTTAGTTATTATTATAATGATATCATTTGCATACGCTAAAAGTAATTTCCTGTTCTGAGATTACTTTTCTTTATTTTTCTCATCACATGTTACAGCGTTAAATTGAATAGTGTTCCGGATAAAGAGTCGCCTTAACCGATTAGGTATTATAATTGTCTAAATTTTTGCGCAAATGTTGTACACTTGAAAGTCCTTAATAACAAACTTTTTAAAATTGTCACTCTAACTACTTATTTTCTGAGATTTATGGTCAATGTCACTTTTTTAATGACAATGTAGGGTAAATTTAACGTGATTTCTGTCATCATTGTCATTATCAATCTACTAAATGTAACACTTAAATGTTTATGATTACATGCGCAATGTTATGTTATGATGTTTGACATAGGGCAACAAATTTTGGGGAGCAACTTCAAAATCTAGATATATAATTTAATAATAAATGTACAGGCTGTTTCATAGCACTACTGCATAGTTTTAAAAGTTTACAAATAAGTAAAAAGTTCTAATACAATTATTATCATATCTTAAAAATAGAGCATTCATAGAAATTTTAATTTGCTGCATTATCAAAACTACTTTTCACCATCGTTCATTTCATTAGCAAAAAATTGCTTGAATACCTTAAAAACACATGGTATTCTTAATTTTTGTTGCTGAGTTGCCTTGAAAATGCCATTAATACGCATTTCTTTCGTAACCTCTGAAAATTGAATGAACTGCTGCCAAGATATTACAAAAACATTTTTTTTTAAATAATAATCAAAAGTAATTTTTATCATCCAAGAAATTTTAAGATATTCTCATAAGTATATTTTGAAAAATTGACCGTGCTCTCATTAGCATCATTTTTTTTGGTCATATAATTTGCTATTAAAATTATACAGTAGGGCTCTGAATCACCCTGTATAGTGAAATAATGAAAGCTATTCTGCTTACCATACTGCTAATTTAACGTAACTAAAAATTTAGGAATGTTTTATGGTAACGTCATCGACTTTTAAACGAGAACAAATGTATTAACATTTAATATTGATGTTTAGGTACAGTGTAACATAAGCAGTAATAGTTGTTCCCAAAATTTTCGCAGAATTAAAGCATTCGTGTTTTATTTGATTAAAAAAAGTTGTAACCTTCGTAGTTTTAAAATCACTCACTGAGAATTTCGTTCTGTTTACAAATAATGCGATACGTCGTTCCAGAAAAAAGTCTCCGATAAGCAACGCATTGAAATTTTTTGCTACTTCCCGTTATGCAAAGAAGTTTAATGTCTTTTAGGTCAATACATTTTCGACCCTGATATGTGCGTGTGTTCGTTTGGTCCGTAGACTGCCTAGTTCAAATGTTTTATTTTTATTAAAAATAAAATTTAATAATTTATTTTTGTACTAAAGTAAAAGTGTTGTGTACAACAAGACTTTCCAGAGGTTGGCGCGGAAAGAAAGGCAATCTGGATTTAAAGGGTAAATGTGCCTTTGTTTACCGATTTATCATTCGTTGTGAGGGGTGTTCATTTGAAAAAGCCATCAAGTTGGTGTTGCTTTTTTGATTAAAGAAAACGCAACGAAAACGCATGTGTTTTATAAATACATACTGAGGTGTGAATAATTGACGTTTCCACGTTTTCAGCTGTCTTCTATTAAATTTTAGGTATATTGTAAACATAACGAATGATCAAATAAAAAACACTTCTAGTTACTAGTAAAAAAATTTAAGTTAAAATTGTTAATTTAAGATTACAGCAATGAATCTTTTAAACGAGCACCACATTCGGTTGATGTATTTCGTGGCATCAAATTTAAAATGTGGGAAAACCGAGTTTTATTGTGTCCAGATGTGATCCAATTA